AAAATATTTTACGTTATCTTATTTTGCTATTACTGTTGTTTATAACATTATAGTAATTATAATGTTTATAATAGCAAGAACACCATCAATATTCATAGCACTAGTAAAAAAAATAAATTTTCCTGCCAATTCAAGGAAAGGTGAAATCAGGTAAGGCAGAGCCATCTATGTGCAGAGACATTTCACAAAAAAATATAAAAAATGAGCACAGCATTATCCCCATTTTTTGTTAATTTTCCCCATCACAAATGGGTTAAGTATAAAAGGAGAAAATAACATAGCAAAGGGAGCCTTACTACTACACATGAGTTTTTGTGTGCCCCTAGCCTACAAGCCGCACTCCCAGTAGAGTGTCTGCATAAGTAAGCCTAATGCCCGGATTTTGGGTCATGTGATGGTGTAACTTTTGTTGTTTCTTTTGAGTATGATTTAGATTATAGAAAAGGACTTATATATTATGGTAAGAATATCAAAAGATACCAAAGTTACTAGGAAGAAGAAATGCTATATTCCAGGTCATTGTCACTGTCCCACATGTTCCTTTTCCAGTCCCACATATTCTATCCTGTTCCTGTTTTACTGAAATCTGTATTTCTGCCTTTACTCACATGTCTTCTCTCCCGTGACTCCCCTAAATTATGTACATCTTTGTAGAATCTCTTACCTTTCCCTTGGACAACTTGTTCTCCTTCCTCATGTGCATTAATATCCTCCATTTGATCTAATCGCACCCTATACTATTTCTTATCAGCTCCTCCACTCAACCCTTTTCAGTACCGTACTCTCCTGTAATTCTTTTTAACCTTTAGCATTTTACCCACCTTACCCTAATCATTAACTCATTTTTACTCTTTCTGTTGCAATACCTTAATCATAGTTCTACATGACCTTAGATTTTCTAGCTGTTAACCATTGTCACACACAACTTCAGTGATCTTTGAGTCAGTATGGATTCTTGTATCCTTTTTCAGATGTGAATTCCCAGGATGTGATGTGAGATGTGAGAACCCTAGTCGCTTGAAACGTCACAGCTTTACCCATGAGAAGAGTCGATATGCTTGCCCTATTGAGAATTGTGGGAATACATTTGATCTGTATCAGAATCTGCAGATGCATCTCTCTATCAGCCATATGAAAGGTAGTCTAATATATAATTAATTTTTATGTTGAAGCAAATAAGGGAATCATCATCTACCGTAATGAACCTCCAAAGTGTTATTTGGATATTCTGTGTAGCTATGTGATTTTTTTTTTCTTTTTTTTTTTCAGGAAAATGGCATTATGGACTAATTCATGATAATAATTGTTATTTTTCTAATGGATTTCAACCAGAATACTTGGTAACTAGTTGAGGTTTTAAATATCAAAATGTTCCACAGGGACAGCTAAGTTACAATATATTAAACTGAGTTGACAAGCCAACCATTAGCTACAGTAGCTGTTACTAGATTTTTACTTGAGCAGTTATGATGGGATATATTGTAAATTTTTATTGCATTCTTTTGTGTGTATATATATATATATATATATATATATATATATATATATATATATATATATATATATATATATATATATATATTTATATATATATATATATATATATATATATATATATATATATATATATATATATATATATATATATATATATACATATGTATATATATATACACATACATACATACATACATACATATGTATATGAATATTTTATTTATATAAATATAAATAAATAAATGAATATAGATGTGTGTGTGTGTGTGTGTGTGTGTGTGTGTGTGTGTGTGTGTGTGTGTGTGTGTGTGTGTGTGTGTGTGTGTGTGTGTGTGTGTGTGTGTTTTTAATATATATGTATGTATGTATGTATATATTTATGCATGTATGTATGTAGACACACAAAGGCACACACAAACATATATATGTACATACATACATGTGTGTGTATGTTTGTGTGTGTGTGTTTGTGTGTGTGTTTGTTTGTGTGTGTGTGTTTGTGTGTGTGTGTGTTTGTGTGTGTGTGTGTGTTTGTGTGTGTGTGTGTGTTTGTGTGTGTGTGTTTGTGTGTGTGTGTTTGTGTGTGTGTGTTTGTGTGTGTGTGTTTGTGTGTGTGTGTGTGTGTGTGTGTGTGTGTGTGTGTGTGTGTGTGTGTGTGTGTGTGTGTGTGTGTGTGTGTGTGTGTGTCTATGCACACACATACATAAATGTATATACTTGCATATATACACATATCTGTATGTATTTTTTTAAATAGGTAGTTTTAAGATAAAAGACGTAATATAGGTGATGTATGCCTTAACTAGGAATGTGAAGTTTGATCCATAATGTGATTTACTAAGATATTTCTTAGTGTGTAGTTCAGCAAAATTATGTGTACCTCTAATATTTGGATTTTTTCTCTCTCTCTCTCTTTATGTTTTTATAGTTTGTGATGTTTGTGGGAGAACATTTAGACAACTTCGCAAGCTTAGAATGCATCGCAAAACTCACGAAGATGTCCGAGAAGCTTACTTCTGCCCTCTTCCAAATTGTGATAAGTATGTGTTCTTTGTCTTTTTTTTTTTGTTTCCAATGATAAATAAGCAAAAAATGGTTGATTGTTTGTTAAGAATATAAATTTCTCCTTTCTATATGTGTTTCACTGACATTCTCTCATTTACTTACTAATACATTTTTTTTTTTTTTTTCTTAACCATCAGGCACTTTTACCAGGAAAACAACTTAGCTACACACATCAAGGAGAAGCATGAAAAGAGCAAGATATACCAGTGCGGCATCTGTGACAAATGTCTAGCTAGCAAGGTACAATTTTAGACATTTTTTTCAGCTTGGAATTCATTATAGAAGCATACATTGAGACCAAGACACAAGTTGTCAGATGTCATTCAGCAATTTTCTCATTAGGCTATCACAGATAGAATTGAATTATTTTTTCTACTGTAAATATTTGCCAAATGATATTTTTTTACAGAATCAGTCTCTTTAACCCCTTCGCGCCGGGTAAAAATGAACAAAAAATGGGGGAAATGCTGTGTTCATTTTTTAAATTTTTTAATGAAATTTCTCTACACTAGATGGCTCTGCTTTACCGGATTTCATTTGGCGGGAAAATGTATTTTTACTAGTGCTATGAATATCGATGGTTATTTTTATTATAAACATTATAATTACTCTAATGTTATAAACATTAGTAACAGGAAAATAAAATAACGCAAAATAATTTCGTAAATTAAAGAAAAGGGTAAACAGACGAGACAGGCAGTACAAGTGCAAGTGGAGCCATCTATGTTTGTAAACAATCAAACAAGTAAACTCAAAGTGGGCCCGTCATGTATACATGACGCCCGGCGTGAATGGGTTAACCCATTCGCACCGGGTGTCACGTATATGTGATATGCCTACTGTGAGTTTACTTGTTTAATTGTTTTTACACATTGATGGTTCTCTCAAAAGAGCATTCAGAATAAAATGATCTTTCTCTAAAACTGTGATTGAAGACATCTTAAGAGGATTAACATCTTCAACTATTAGACAATATGAAAGTGGCTGGAATGTGTTCCAAGATTTTATTAGGGTGCCCAGTATTTCTAATATATCCCCTAGTATTTTCTTTCTTTTGCTTCATGGCTTTTTCACAATAAAAATCTTTCAGTAGATGCCATTAATACACATGTCAGTGCGATCAAATTACTCATGAAAATTGCTCTAGATTTTAAAATAGACAAAACTTTCTTTATGTTGATAAAGAAAGATTTCCCTATATCTAGACCAAAAAGCAAAAGATTCATTGCTAATTGGCAATTAAAAGAACTATTACTTTCTTTGAAACAGACAGATTTGGAGAAAGTACCTCTGTTCAAAATGTCTTCAATAAAGCTGCTTTCCTTATAGCACTGGCATCAGTCAGTATCATTAGTGGCTCTGTCTAGAACGACCAATTTGACTCCATTTAGAAATGATTTCATCTCTGTTTCCCTTGCACCATGTTCCATCATAGCAAAAAAATTAAAGGCAAGGGCACAAACTTCTTCCTGTGAAGATACCTGCTTGGATAGTTGAGGGTTTTCACCATTCTCTGTGCCCTGTTGTAGGCATTTAATAGATACTTATTGACTTACCAAATTAATTTAGAGAAATTATGGATGGACCCTAGCAATGATAAAGCATTCAACCCTCACAGAGAACAGTATTTATTATTTGTAATATCAAAGAAGCTTCCAGGTTTCAAACCCAAAAGCCAATCAAGTCAGGAGCTGTGCAGCTTCAATGGCATTTCTTAAATCCTTTGATTTTGATGTTGTAAAAGATCTAGGGCAGTGGGCATAAGCAATGTCATCATTACAAGATATTTAAAAAATCAGTGAATCAAGCCCTTGTGCAGCTGTGGGTCTTTCCCCTGTTTAAGCCATTTGCAAGGGTAAAAATGAACAAAAAATGGGGAAAATGCTTCTGTGCCTAATTTTTTATACTTTTGTGAAATGTCAATTACACATAGATGGCCTCTGCCCTTTACTGATTTCATTTGCAGGACAAATGTATTTTTTACTAGTGCTATGAATATCGATGGTTATTTTTATTATAAACATATATAATTACTAAATATGTGATATGCCTACTGTGAGTTTACTTGTTTAATTGTTTTTACACATTGATGGTTCTCTCAAAAGAGCATTCAGAATAAAATGATCTTTCTCTAAAACTGTGATTGAAGACATCTTAAGAGGATTAACATCTTCAACTATTAGACAATATGAAAGTGGCTGGAATGTGTTCCAAGATTTTATTAGGGTGCCCAGTATTTCTAATATATCCCCTAGTATTTTCTTTCTTTTGCTTCATGGCTTTTTCACAATAAAAATCTTTCAGTAGATGCCATTAATACACATGTCAGTGCGATCAAATTACTCATGAAAATTGCTCTAGATTTTAAAATAGACAAAACTTTCTTTATGTTGATAAAGAAAGATTTCCCTATATCTAGACCAAAAAGCAAAAGATTCATTGCTAATTGGCAATTAAAAGAACTATTACTTTCTTTGAAACAGACTGATTTGGAGAAAGTACCTCTGTTCAAAATGTCTTCAATAAAGCTGCTTTCCTTATAGCACTGGCATCAGTCCTTAGTGGCTCTGTCTAGAACGACCAATTTGACTCCATTTAGAAATTATTTCATCTCTGTTTCCCTTGCACCATGTTCCATCATAGCAAAAAAATTAAAGGCAAGGGCACAAACTTCTTCCTGTGAAGATACCTGCTTGGATAGTTGAGGGTTTTCACCATTCTCTGTGCCCTGTTGTGGCATTTAATAGATACTTATTGACTTACCAAATTAATTTAGAGAAATTATGGATGGACCCTAGCAATGATAAAGCATTCAACCCTCACAGAGAACAGTATTTATTATTTGTAATATCAAAGAAGCTTCCAGGTTCAAACCCAAAAGCCAATCAAGTCAGGAGCTGTGCAGCTTCAATGGCATTTCTTAAATCCTTTGATTTTGATGTTGTAAAAGATCTAGGGCAGTGGGCATAAGCAATGTCATCATTACAAGATATTTAAAAAATCAGTGAATCAAGCCCTTGTGCAGCTGTGGGTCTTTCCCCTGTTTAAGCCATTTGCAAGGGTAAAAATGAACAAAAAATGGGGAAAATGCTGTGCTAATTTTTTATACTTTTTGTGAAATGTCATTACACATAGATGGCTCTGCCTTACCTGATTTCATTTGGCAGGAAAATGTATTTTTACTAGTGCTATGAATATCGATGGTTATTTTTATTATAAACATTATAATTACTCTAATGTTATAAACATTAGTAACAGGAAAATAAAATAACGCAAAATAATTTCGTAAATTAAAGAAAAGGGTAAACAGACGAGACAGGCAGTACAAGTGCAAGTGGAGCCATCTATGTTTGTAAACAATCAAACAAGTAAACTCAAAGTGGGCCCGTCATGTATACATGACGCCCGGCGTGAATGGGTTAACCCATTCGCACCGGGTGTCACGTATATGTGATATGCCTACTGTGAGTTTACTTGTTTAATTGTTTTTACACATTGATGGTTCTCTCAAAAGAGCATTCAGAATAAAATGATCTTTCTCTAAAACTGTGATTGAAGACATCTTAAGAGGATTAACATCTTCAACTATTAGACAATATGAAAGTGGCTGGAATGTGTTCCAAGATTTTATTAGGGTGCCCAGTATTTCTAATATATCCCCTAGTATTTTCTTTCTTTTGCTTCATGGCTTTTTCACAATAAAAATCTTTCAGTAGATGCCATTAATACACATGTCAGTGCCATTAAATTACTCATGAAAATTGCTCTAGATTTTAAAATAGACAAACCTTTCTTTATGTTGATAAAGAAAGATTTCCCTATATCTAGACCAAAAAGCAAAAGATTCATTGCTAATTGGCAATTAAAAGAACTATTACTTTCTTTGAAACAGACAGATTTGGAGAAAGTACCTCTGTTCAAAATGTCTTCAATAAAGCTGCTTTCCTTATAGCACTGGCATCAGTCAGTCATTAGTGGCTCTGTCTAGAACGACCAATTTGACTCCATTTAGAAATGATTTCATCTCTGTTTCCCTTGCACCATGTTCCATCATAGCAAAAAAATTAAAGGCAAGGGCACAAACTTCTTCCTGTGAAGATACCTGCTTGGATAGTTGAGGGTTTTCACCATTCTCTGTGCCCTGTTGTAGGCATTTAATAGATACTTATTGACTTACCAAATTAATTTAGAGAAATTATGGATGGACCCTAGCAATGATAAAGCATTCAACCCTCACAGAGAACAGTATTTATTATTTGTAATATCAAAGAAGCTTCCAGGTTCAAACCCAAAAGCCAATCAAGTCAGGAGCTGTGCAGCTTCAATGGCATTTCTTAAATCCTTTGATTTTGATGTTGTAAAAGATCTAGGGCAGTGGGCATAAGCAATGTCATCATTACAAGATATTTAAAAAATCAGTGAATCAAGCCCTTGTGCAGCTGTGGGTCTTTCCCCTGTTTAACCCATTTGCGAGGGTAAAAATGAACAAAAAATGGGGAAAATGCTGTGCTAATTTTTTATACTTTTTGTGAAATGTCATTACACATAGATGGCTCTGCCTTACCTGATTTCATTTGGCAGGAAAATGTATTTTTTACTAGTGCTATGAATATCGATGGTTATTTTTATTATAAACATTATAATTACTATAATAGTAACAGCAGAATAAGATAACATAAAATATTTTCGTAAATTAAAGAAAAGGGTGAACGGGCGAGACAGGCAGTACAAGTACAAGTGTAGCCATCCATGTGTCAAAACAATTAAACAAGTAAACTCACAGTGGGCCTGTCACGTATTCGTGACACCCAGCGCGAATGGGTTAGTAAGGAATAAAATGTGTATTTTGTAAAGATGAACGTATATTACGTTCCAGGAAAAACAAAACAAGTATTCATCTTTTCTTCAATATAAATACTTTTCAATTCTTTGCCTTAGAATCATTCTTTAATACTTAAAAGAAAAATCTCTTTGCAGATTATTAAAATGCATTATTAAAATGCCCCTTTATATATTTCCTTCTCAAGCAACCAAATTCCCTCTGAGAATTAGCCATAAAATGAAAGGGTTTAATGCAAAAGGAAACCCATATTTTATGGCATTTCTTTGCAGGAACAGTCCCCCCCCCCCCTCCGTTTACTAAAACAGATCTTTTCATAGTATCTGACAAATGTTATGTTGTGAGCCATGGACATGAGTTAGGCGGGGAGTGGGGGTTACAACAGTTTGAAAGGTAGTTTATAGTATATGTGTGGAATAGCCCTATTTTGGTGAATAAAGTGTGGATATGCCAGGAGGATTGAAAAATTATCATTCTTAACTTATGCAAGTTTACTTTTAATCATTTTGGTGAAAAAGATTTCAGACCTAATTCCTGCTAATAACACCTTAAAATGTGGGTTTTCCATATGTCAAACCCTTTCATTTTTGATACATACATTGTTCAGTGATATAGTTTCCTCTTCATTCTTTTTTCAGCAAAAATTAACACGTCATATGGCCACCCACGCAGTAGATTATAAAAGGAACTACACATCCAAAAAGCCAAGGAAACCTCGTAAAGACAAAGGTGTTTCAAGGACAGATTATTCACGTCTACTGTCTGGGTACTATGAAGATGAAGAAGAAGAAGAAGCTGCTGTTGTCAGTCCAAAAGACAATGGTGAAGTCAAGGACATGGACACTAATCATGATGTAGTCACTGATAGTCAGAAGGAAACTGCAGTAGAAAGTAAAGATGAAGAAATGGAGTGTGAGTGATATGAAGACAGGCTTTAATTGATTTATACAGTTATTGTTGAACATGCCAAGGAATTGTCCGTGATATTTAAAGCATAAGAATTTTATATTAGTACTATTTTCAGTTTTGCATAGTCAGGTGTATGAGATGTGTCATTTGTAGAATTAAGTCAAAAAATTTATTTGTATGCATGTTTTTTGGTCTGTTTGGGATTACACAAAATGCTCAGTAATGTGTTATTCCCCCTGAGAAATGGTTTTACAAAATGTATGTAATTATTAATGGAAAAAAAAATCCATTGGTCTTAGTAAACTTATACATCTCATATGTAAAATACATTATATAATGCACATGGATATTTTCAATGCTTATAGCTTTATGTGACTGATTGTGAGTTTGCTGAAGAAAAGTTGTTAATAACATAGTAACATGGGATATTGAAACGCTCTTGGTTATAAGTGTATTCATTTACTGAATATAGGTTATACATAACTGTGCATGATTTACATACAGTATATTTCATTGCTTGCAGTCTACAATAAGTGGTGCTGAATTATATATAGTAGCAGAAAATGTTATGTAATGAAACTTATAAATATAAAACATCTTCAGGCATAATAGATGTTTCAAACTTCCAGAAGTATGAAAATATTCTATGAAATTGACTGTTCTTTGGGGTTTTACATGAATATGAAGCTTCTGTTTGTGCATCATTAATTCTCTTCCTAGATAGGCTAGTTTTTGCCATGTGTGTGTGTATGCTTGTATGTGTGTGTGGGTATGTGTGTGCGTGTGCATGTGCGTGTGTTAGCTGTTTGCACGCACATTTATATATTACCCTTCTTTGTATTTGATATCATAAACAAACATATTTAGAAAGTTATCAGGGCTTATGTTTAACTCCAATCATTGCCTGATCCTTGTGGCACTCCAATAGTTCCTAGATTGATTGATTGATTGATAGAAAGATCGAAAGATAGATAGATATAGATCAATAGACAGGTTTATATTTACATTTAGATTTACATATGCATATAATATTTGGATATTGATAAAATCATTGCCAGAATTCTGTTACTAACTTCTTTTGTGTATGAAAATTTTCTAGTGTACACATGTGCAAATACATACCTGCAGATGTTCATATTCATCAGTGCAATACAGGTCAAGTCAACTGCTTCATAATAGTTGAGAAGAAATAGGGAGAGCCATGGAGGGACGAACCAAGTCTGCTTCTTGTATAAATCCTATGTGATGGAATTAAACACACTAAAAGCTTGGCCAATTATGTAGATTATAAGAACATTTGGATAAGAAAAAGACAGTGAAACTTTACAAAGACTTCATAAGTCAGAGTAAAAGATGATTGAAGGTTAAAGGAGGAAAAAAATCTAGTTTAAGGATGAGAAATATCAAACCTAAGTGAATTTACTCCCAGATCAGAAATGCAGTGATGGACAAGCAGTAACAGCAAGAGACTGAAGGAACCCAATACCCAAAATGAGTAAACCATACATTATGCATAACTGTGAAACCAAACTTGACCTCCCTTTAGCAAGTGTAACTTTAGTACTCATAGACTATAATATTTGAATAAATTATTTGACAGATGCAGGTGGAGGGGTAGTAATAATATGAATTGGATTAACAATATAGCAATTGAAAATTTAACCCATTGCTGCCAGGGAAAATGTATAAAAAATGGGGAAAATGCTGTGCTCATTTTTTATATTTTTTCTGAAATGTCTCATACATGGCTTTGCCTTACCTGATTTCACCTTTCCTTGAATTGAAAGAAAAATTTATTTCTTACTATTACTATAAATATTGATGGTGTTATTTTTATTATAAACATTATAATTACTATAATGTTAAACATTAGTAATAGCAAAATAAGATAACGTAAAATATTTTCGTAAATTAAAGAAAAGGGTAAACAGGTGAGACAGGCAGTACTTGTAATTGGCTCATTGGTGATTTAGTACAAGTGTAGCCATCTATCCATCCAAAAAAATTGAACAAGTAAACTCACAGTGGGCATGGCACGGATACATGACATGCCCATCGCGAATGGGTTAACAAAACCCTTAAACCCTTGCATCTTTGGGGTGGTAGTAATAGGGATAAGATTAACAATATAGCATTTGAAAATTCATCAAAACCCCATTGAGAACGTATTGTTTATTGAAATGTAAAAAAATGAGACTCGGTTTTATGAAAAGGAGATACAGATGAGCAGCACATAAGATTTTACATCTTTAATGGAATTAAATGTATGCCAAAATACAAAACCATATTATACAGACATAATAATAGTTAAATGTTTACATGCCTCTGCAAGTGTAACATAGTACAAGAAAGTTCAAAAAAAGTAGCTCAATAGATGCCTATGTATTTAAAGAACCCCCCCTATCCCTTGGTCGTTGTCGTCATGAGGGAGCTGGGAGACAGGGAATGAGGCCTAATGTAGGGTCCTCAGTCCTCACCTCAACTAATTTTGCATGGTCCTTTCTTCACTTCCATTCCTTTTCCTTTTCTTCATCCCCTTGTTCTGTCCACTTATCCTAATCGTTAAACTCATTTTTGCCATTTTTGCCACCGTACTTTATCATAATGCTTCCTACTTCCTTAACTAATTCCTCTTCAAACAACCTTTACCTTATACTACACCCCATCAGCTCACCCTCTCTACCCTTTTCAATACCATACCACCCTCTAGTAGTGTTTAACCTATAACTTTACCCTAATCATTAGCTCATTCCAAACCCTTTTCACTACTCTAATTTACCACAGCACCATAGGACATCATTACCTCTGCCTTGGACCTCAGCTCTTGCCTCAACTAATTTTGCAGGGTCTTTTCTCCTCCCCTTCTTCTGTCCACTTATCTAAATCATTAACTCACATTTACCCTTTTCACACAATACTTTTATCATAATGCTGTGTAACATTTGATGTCTGGTACATTTATTTGTTTTGACCATTGACCATTCTGGAAATCCATAAACATTAGCTTACTTTAATCTTTATCTGGGGGCTTTTATATACACTGCTAATGACCTTAGATGTTGATGTGGCAGAAACCTTCAACTGGAAGCATTTAGACCCAGAGTGCAATCTAATTCATAAGTTAAAAAAGTACTGTGAAATAGTGAATGTTTTTATTAAAATGTCATTGAATACAATAGGGAAGGAAACATAAATAGAGTATAATTATCAAATTATTGCCTTTTGCAGGAAAACCATTTGGAGATATAAAATGAAAGAAACAGATTAACCCAATGCCACCTGGGAAAATTAATAAAAAATGGGGAAAATGCTGTGCTCATTTTCTATATTTTTTGTGAAATATCTCAGCACATAAATGGCTCTGCTAGTACTTAGCCACAAAGGAGTCAATTAGTAGACCTTGTGACCTTACGTGTATTTTTTACTAGTGCTATGAATATTGATGGAATTATTTTTATTATAAACATTATAATTACTATACGGTTATAAACATTAGTAACAGCAAAATAAGATAACATCAAATATTTTTGTAAATCAAAGAAAAGGGTAAATGGGCGAGACAGGCAGTACTGGTAATTGGCTCATTGGTGACTTGGTACAAGTGTAGCCATCTATGTGTAAAAACATTCAAACAAGTAACTCACAGTGGGCATAGCACAGATTTCATGGAAAAGTTGAGAAAACAAGTCACAAGCAGCATATGAGATATTGAGTAATGAGTAGTGACAAGTATACCTCAGGCCTTGAGAAAAGCAAAGAAAGATTTGAAGTTGTGATATAATTAACAAATGAGTCAAAGCTCCTCTTATTTTATAGTAATAGTGTACCAAAGAGTAACAATGATGTATTTAATCTTTTCATCATAAGACTGTGGCAAAGGGGTTTTTGTTATCATCTTACCTGGCTGCAAGATGTTTGTTGGTGTTATATTCTGCATTCGTGTGTGTGTGTGTGTGTGTGTGTGTGTGTGTGTGTGTGTGTGTGTGTGTGTGTGTGTGTGTGTGTGTGTGTGTGTGTGTGTGAGATAATCTCAGAATTTATATAAAGTCACAAATTGAATCGCAGACAGATGAAACAAATACAACTGCAGAAGACGTACAATCACAATTGTAGTCGCAATCGCAGTAGATGAGTAAACTTGTAAATGCAACCACAGTGAAAAGAGACACAATCAGATGAAACCACTAAAGGTCACAATTTAATAAGTCCGATATGCGAAGCTGAGTCTCGCCCGGGCTATGGTGGAGCCCGGCCTGTGCCGACTAATGTCGACTCGCTAACAGTGTGTCAGCAGGTGCTGACTCGGATGACAATTACAATTACAACTTCTCGCGCCTGGGCGGGGCGCGAACCGCCGACCCTTTGGATGAGAGGCCGACACGTTACCACTGTACTAGCCCGGAGACTCACAATTTAATGACCGAACATATTGTCAGTACAATTACAAATACAATAATTGAAGATAAGTACAGTCACAGATATAAACACAAACGACGGAAGAAAGCGAGGGCGAGCACGTGCGCGAAAGTAAGAAAGTAGAAGAGGAGAGCAGAGTGGAGAGGGCCATATTCTACCCAGATGTGATAGTTGGCGATATCTTCTCAATCAGTTACTTCAGAGAAACTAATGTAAATTTGAGCACATCTGGTAAGTACTGACACTAGAGTGGTTAATAATTAATGGTTATAGGAAATAAACGTGCTAGACAACTGTGTTAAAGTATTGTGGTGAAGAGGATAGAAACATGTTAACGAGTAAGATAAAATGTAAAGGTTGTAGGATGGCAAAAATTGTAGTTGCTATAGGATAGAATGGCAGTGAGAAAGGTACATAAGGGGAAGCAAATGGAATACTTAGGGGCGCCAGGATATTTTGAAGCTGCTGAAAAAGGGCACATTTTCAATTATTATTAAAAGTTTTGAATCAATTTAAAAAATAACAGAAACTTAATGTCCTGGTTGTTGATATCCCAAAAGCAAAAGGTCTAAAATTTTCCAAAATGATTTTAGTCTCTCGGATCTGGCAACAAATTCTATGGCAACTTTTTTTCTGAATTAATGTTGTCAGTGCGTTCTTTGTGCAAATTAGCAAACAATCTGTTGCTTAGGCTGTTTGCTGTCATATTAAACCTCAACCATGACTTGATACGTCGTATTGTAATAAGAGTATAGGTGCTGTGTAAAGTTTTACGTCTCTGTCGTGGTTTCCTGTTTAAAACACATTTAATTATTTGTTTATTTATTTTCCTGACACATTTTGCTTCAAAATGAGAATATGAACAAAAGCAGAATTCAGTACTAGACCATGAAGTGACGTCTTTATGACTTGCGCACCTAAGCCGGATAACTGTCATGGGCATCACCAAGCCTCATTCGCATGCATCACCATGACAAGTGGGATTAGGAGAACTATAGTAATGAGGATTGTTTCAGACAAGCCCCCCTTAATCCCATACCCGTTATTGGCGTGCGGGGAGGGGGGGGGGGGGAGTGAAGACTGAGGCACAATGTTGGGATCCTCTGCCTTGGACCTCAGCCAGTCAATTTTCCACAGCCTTCTTCTCCCCTATTCAGTTTCCTTCTCTTCTTCAACCCCTTCTCTCCGCTTCCTATGCTGTGAGAGGTGTGAAAAGATAAAAGGCTCGCTTCAGGTCAGTCCTGAAAGGCCTCTTTAGTTGTCTTGTCCCTCCCCGCATAGGTAATTTTAACTTTTCCGGTTCCCTGACCCTTGGCCCTGCTTTTATCAAGACTTTGAACATCACTATTACTACCCTCTCCTCAATACCTGCTGTCAATTCAGTCTATCCCAAGTCACCCATCCAAGTCATTATCCAATCTTCAGAAAACATTTCCTCTCTCTCAACATCCTCCATACCATCTCTTCATCCTTCACATACTTCTTAATTTTCTACCCCTCCCCCTTCCTTATTACTTACTCCGTCCTTATAGTCTGTCTTCCTCATCAGCACACCCTCTTCCTCCCGTCTTCGTCCTTCAACTACTTCCAACTCTTCAAACTTTTTAAGTATTATTTTAAACTCACCCAAGTGAGATTCCATAGTTCCTTACTCTGACAACACTCACCTTTTCCAACAATCATCCAAAAACAAGTAGGCAAAGCTTCCTTTGCAGCTTTTTCAGTTACATCCGACTCCCAAGCTCAAGCATTATCTAACCTACCTGATTGTGACTGAGGAAACGACTTGATTACCTGCTTCGTTGATTATGATGCAGTATCAATACAATGCTACCCTATTCCCCCTAGAGGCCATCGTAAGTTTCCCACCTTATCCAACTCCTCCCCCGTCAATGCCAGATATGTTGGCATCTTGGCCACTCTGCCATACACTGTTGCTCCACAGCCCCATGCTCTCAATGTGCCCAGCCTGGTCGTAATCGTTAAAACCGCTCTGCGCAATCACGTGCCATTTGAAGTGGCTCATATCATATATTTCATTAGGGCTTCGCTACCTACAAGTTTGAGTCTGAGACGGCAGTTGACGTGAGGTCTTTCGAAGATGTTTCTACATATCCCACAGTATCTCTTCCTCCTACTTCTTACGTTCCCCCCTTTCCCCCACTCCCTCTCTCAGACTTTTTTTTTGACATTCTAAAGTCAAACACTCAAATCTCTACACTCCCCCGATGCCTGACTCCCTCCTCACTCTGCGAGTCGCATCAGACAATATA